TCTCCTTTTTTAAAAATGGGAACTACATTTGCGGTCTTCCATACCTCAGGTAGTTGCGCAGTTTCAAGGGATGTGTTGAAGATTGTGGTTAATGGCACACACAGTATATCTACTCCATCCCTGAGGACCCACGGGGAGATGTTGTCCAGTCCCATTGCCTTTGAGGTATCAAGGTCACTTAGCAGCTTCTTCACCTCCTCCTCAGTTGTGTGCATATCGTCCAGCACCTGTTGGTCAATTCCCTGTTGGTGTCCCCCTCTGTCCTGTCTTCCCAGAGTCCTTCCTGTCTCCACTGTGAATACTTCCTTAAATCTCCTGTTGAGCTCCTCGCATACCTCTTGATCGTTTCTTGTGAGTTCCCCACTTTCTTTCCTCAACCTGATCACCTGGTCTTTGACTGTCGTCTTTCTCCTAATGTGGCTAAACAGCAGTTTGGGGCAATTTTGGCTTTCGATGCATGTCATTCGTACTTCGCGGGGCCTCCCTCCTTATCTGTGCATATTTGTTTCTGGCCTTAAACAATCTCCTTGCTTCCTGGGCCCTTTTGCCTTCTGTACCTTTCCTTTCCTAATGTATTTGGGTTTTTTGCCTCCCTGAAAACCTTTGGGAAAACCCCAAGACTCGTTTTGTCATCCCTTTTTTTCTGTTGCCCTTGGGAAAAAAACCCTTTCCTTGCCTCCTTGCATTTTTGTTACAATCTCCATCTTTTTTCATTTACTGTTTTTCCTACCATTTCTCTGTCCCACTGCCCCCCGCGGGAAAATTCCTCATACAGTTAGTCCCCCCTTTTTATGTTTGCTTTTCCCATTCGACTTCTGTTACCCTCCACCGTAACTCTACATGTAATAAAAACTCAGGACTACGTGGGTTTCCTAGCTCCGAGGGGCCTCTAAATATGTGATGTCACAATGTCTGACTACTCGGGTGAACACAAGGTCCGTCTTCGGGGTTCATCCCCCCTCACTCTCGGTAGTGTCCCGATGTGTTGTTTCATGATTTTCCAGACCAATCCATATCTTGGCTCTCCATGTTTGGGGGCCCCCATGAGGCTCCGGGTTTCCCAATCATCTCCCGTATTTGAAATCCCCCCAAAACCAGAACTTTGTTCTGCACTATGAGCTTTTTCGTGCCACCTTACCCATGTGCCCACCATCACTCTGTTTTTTCTCATCATATTCCTCTCTTGGCCTCCTGCAGTTCTGTGGTGGGTTATACATCACAGCAATGACTACCATATGTTCCCCAGCCTGAATTGTGCCTGCTATGTAATCCCTTTCTCCAATCTCGTCCATGCCTTCCATTTCCTCGAAACTCCATCGTTATTTTTGTGAGCAGTGCAACCCCTCCTCCCCCTCTGCACTTTCTATCTTTCCTCAGGATCTGATATCTCGGTGGGAAGACTGCGTCTGTTATTGTCTCAGTGAGTTTCGTTTCCGTGACTGCTATGATGTCTGGGGACTTCTCGTTGATTCTTTTGTGCCATTCCTTGTATTTATTTGCTATTCCATCTGTGTTTGTGCACCACACCTTCAGCTTCTTGTCTATCACGGTGGACCTGGGAGAATATTGGTGTTGGGGGGTGTTAGCCCTGGGGGGTTATGAGGGTTTGTGGTGGGGGGTGAGAGCAGAGTGCCCGTAGGGAGCTGCTGTGGCAGTGGTGTTTGTAATGTGGGGGGTGGGGGCAGAGGGAACTGTGTGGGTGCTGGTTGAGATTGTTCAGCTGCGTTGGGGTTTTCACAATGTGGGTGGGGTTTGTGGTGGGGGTGGGGGCAGAGTGCCCAAAAGGGGCTGCTGTAGAGGCGGAGTTTGTGGTGGGGGGGTGGGGGCAGAGGGAACAGTGTGCGGGTTTTGGTTGAGGTTGTTCAGTTGCTTCGGGGTTGTTGTGGTTGGAGTCCTTCTGTGGGTGTCTCTGTAGGGTGTATTTGTCCTTCCACCTGAGTATGACCCTCTTGGGTTTAGCACTTAATCTGATTATAATTCTAACCCCTCAAGGATGGGGGGGGGGTCTTTGACTCAAGTAATTGGATTTTCCTCCTTTTGGATCGAATGAATGCCTCATTCCATCAGGTTCTATATGCCCCCTACAGGTTTAGCACCCCCCACGAATGTAATAATATAACTGAACGGGTACAGTTCTCGTGTTTTATTACATGCTCATATATATATATATATATATATATATATATATATATATATATATATATATATATATATAATATATATATATATATATATATATTATATATATACTGTACATTGGTACATGTATGCGTATGCACATGTACTCAAACAAGTATACAGCCACACATGTATACTTACCCTGAAGCATGCATATGTGTATGTAGGCTCACATTCACATATGTATATGTATACACAATATATCTGCACATGCTTACATACATTCATGTATACAGTAGAGGCCAGTTAAGTACCTATGCACAGTCATACATATTTTTTTATATTTCACTGCGTGAATTGAGGTAGAGGGTGCTGAGTTGTGGGATACGGGGGATACCTTTCGCGGATCATTCACCAATCGAAACAAGTCAACATCATGTTATAGTTTCGGAAATGAGAGAATCGATTTATAAGAAATGGGAAATCTTAGAATATGTAAAAGTAAAGTGAGCTTGGTCAGTCATGTATAAGAACTTTGCCTTATCACTTTATCGTAGTGATAGTGACTATCACTCAGAGCACCCATGAGCGCTCACTGGCTCAACACAAGTTTGGAGTCCACTCATGTGACTATGATAACGATGATAAAGAGGCATAAATGCAGCATTATGGAATTCTTTATTTACTGAACTCATGTCTCTTATCTGAGCCTTACAGTTTCTACCTCTCACTGTAACACTCAAATGGAATCGTACTTCTCCCTGCAAAATATACATGCACGTGTCAGCTTTTCATTGTCTGTGCTACGATTTATAAATTAAACAATTTTAGCTATCACCTCTTCTTAAACCTTATTACCTCTCATTTCCAGGGACTGTATGAACCTTACCACCTTTGCACTTCTCAATTAATAATAATGTAATTTAATTCAGTTTCCTTTCCAAAACTGTCAGTATAAACCTATGTGTAATCTCAAATTATTATTATACATATGTATTATAATAATTTTAAATTATATTCTTGATTGCCTGTTCTTTAAAGAAATTCACGTGCTGACACACCAAGCCATCAATACAACAACAACGATGAAATAAAGGTTATATTCAAGATCATAAGCTCTAGGAAAGAGAATTGCTTTCAACCGAGACTTATAAACATAAAAAGACACTGCCAACCTGTTGAACAATCTAGAAGCTACAAAAGACAAGGCTCTATCTGAATAATTTCTTTCCAGCAGCACGAGGCTTAATCAGGTTAAGGGGTACGGGGCAATTCACAGTATTCCTGAGCCAAATGTACAAGATAACAGCATATCAGCAAGACACTGGGGTTCATTAATTTTAATAACTTTAAGTGTTAATGAACGTAGTTTAAATTAAATTCTTGCTTTGATAGGGAACCAGTACAGATAATATAAGTAGGTACTAGTGGGAATCCCAGATGGGAAAGGAAATACCAGTCTAGCTTCATGATTCAGTACAAAATGAAGTCTTTTAGCAAGCAGTTAAGCAAACCCATAGTGAAACAGCTATGAAAATAAATTCGAGAATAAACAAAAGAGTGACTAAGGGACACAATATTCTGCTTATCAATATATATTTTAACTACATAGAAATTTCGAATGTGAAAATACTAATATTTAACAATTTGATCGTCCCTCCTTCACTACTTAAACTGCTTGTTTATAATATGTAAAAGGTATATGAATTATTTATTAATATTTCATTGTCATTTGCTTCGCTATCCGTTGTGATTTTAAAATTGTTTATGCAGTATATGTTTGTATATAATGTATTGTATAAATACTCAATCCTCGTATCTTCATCTCTCCTGTAAATACGTACATATCTTCCCGCGTATTTACACTGATTACTGTTATATGTAATATGATTGTATAATCACATATTGTTTACCCCAAGTGAAACGTGATTGTTCAGTGCATACAGTATATACACCGTGAGGTGTATATCTGTGTATATACACTAAGAGTAATTCCTATTAGGAATTAACGTATTTTTGACCCGTGCTGAAGTAGGTGATAGGCACTCTTTAGGGGCAATTAACCCCCTGGGTTACTAATATTTGGGTTAACTCAGGGTTACCAACCCTTTTGTGGTACTAACTCAGGGTTACTAACCCTCTGCGTTACTAACAAGGTTATTAACCCTTCTAGATTACTAAGCCTCCTGGTTACTAACCCTCTTGGATAACTAGTCCTACTGGGTTATTAACACTCCTGGGTTATTAACTCAGGGTTAATAATCCTTCTGTGCTACTAACTCAGGGTTATTAACGTTCCCGGTTAATTGTCAGAATAAAGCTTTCTTTATATAACAGCTACATTAGCAAGATGAGATTAAGGTTACTACCTGTAGCTTTTACATGTTATTATACAGTCGCACAATAGTTGCGAGAAACACATATTTGTAATAGACATACGAACATTGTTGGTAAATTATCTTAATTGTATCTAAAATAACTCTGCAATAGAGTCAAAAGTGTGACGTATTTCCTTCTAAGAGGCTCTTTCTTCGGGTTTTTAGCAATTATTATTTTCTCAGAATTTTATCTGTCATCTCTGAGGTTACTTAATTTTATCGATTCTGTGTAACAGGTGTAATCGAAAGTGGCGCGCAACAGGTGCAGAATACTTAGTGGTGATTCCTACGACAATATTGATGGATGGGATGGGAGCTAGCTAACAACGAGTGGGGAAGACCCAGAATCCACCGGGGACATCAGACAGGGAGATATTTGGGTTTGGGGGGACACTGTGTGAATGTTCATGGATGAGTTTTTTCTGATGTTATATGTTAAGAGATGGTGTGTGTGGTTGTGTGTGGCAGCTATGGTGTGTGTGAGAGGTTGAGGCGGCGGCCACCAGGGGCCGGGTTAGTGGTGCTTGTTATGGTGCAGGTGAGAGGTGCTTGTGCCCACTCTTTCCCTCTTCACTCTCGAATATCTTGTGGATTACCTCCTATGAAACTTGTAATATGACTCGCTAGTGATGGATATAGTACCGTTTAGTGGATTCCAGCATCACCTGTGCGGATGAAATCGAGGTGAGTACGACAGGAGGAGGAATTACGGGAGGAGTCCACAAGTGCAGATGGTAGAAGTGTCGAGTTTCATGGAGAGAGCTGCCACCCGTGTGGGCTTAATACCGCCCACAAAACATAAGTACTTCCCCTTTCATTTCCCTCAGCATCAAAATACTTCATGGCTTCCCAGTAATGCCTAAATCTACGAACAGGAAGCATCCTGTTATAATCTTGCCGTATCCTGATAGAGATCAAATACGTCTAGTTTTCATACAATATTTTTTAGTATTAAGTAGTTTTTGTCATTTGACAGTAATTGTTTGTTTTATTTCGTATGTCATTAAGTGCAAAGAGTGGTAAAGGATTGATCCTCCTTCCACTAATCACGGCCTGGACTGACCTATCAGGCTGTTGGTGATAGCATCCATGTGACTTGTTAGTGGCAACAGTCACCGTTAATGACACTTGATTACTCACAGTATAGTTTTCATCTTACTTAATAGCATTATTATTACACATGAGCAAACACCAAACCCTCAGGGGTTATACAGTATGTGGGGAATGAGAGGTAATCAGGTTTGATCAGAGAAAAGACCCAAGTAGAAATAAGTCTTGACTTTTTTTGGATTATCCTAGATACTTTACACTATATATAATAATTGTACTTGTGTGTACGTGTGCCTAATGGACTTGTTTACTAAAGGGAGGGTATATCCAGTTCCTTGGACCAAGAGCCCTTCACCCACACCATGGCCTTTTTTCTCTTAAAAGGGTGTTTAATAACAGAAGCACTGTACAAAGAGTATGCCATGTATTTATATATTTAATTTCACATAGGAAATGTTTTAGAAATGGAATGTAGATCTAAGGAATGCTTAGAAGAATAAATTGTAATGTGCATCTGGGAAATGATTAGGATATGTAATGTGCGTTTAGGAAATATTTAATATAAAATGTGTACATGAGAAATGTTTAGGATATAAAATATGGCCCTAAAAATATCTTAGAATATAAACTGAGGAAGTAGAGTAAGTTTATGATATATATTTAGATAAATGAAATGTTTAGGATATAAAATGGATACATTATGGTCGCAGACCCCAATGGAAATAAGTCACTTTGTCTTTATTTTTTGGGGTTATCCTAGGTATTCTACACATATGCTGCTATGTATGATAATCTATGTAATTGTACTGTATTTGTGTATACCTGAATAAACCTACTTTCTCACTTCATAAAAATGGATACCTAGGTAAAGCTTAAGATTTAAAATGTGCAAAAACTTATCAGAAACATTAATTGATAGTACTGTTCAGATGGTATATGGTCAGTTTTTGGCACCCCCAAATCATAGCTCAGGAACCTGTAACACACTGCTTTTATAGATAGGATAAAGGGTGTTTCATTCACAAGGCAGCCATTCAAGGGAGGCGAGCCTCCCATTCCGTAGGTGAGCCTCCCATTCCGTAGGTGCTGTATAACCCTTATGGGTTTAGTGTTTACCTATGAGTATATTACTGTAATAGTAATAATATAAGGCAGTTCTTACAGAGGTTGATACCATTGCGCATGGAGCTTTCGTAATAGTTACCGGTATTGATGTGCTTTTTTATAAATGTTGGCGATCTCGCCAAAATTCCCAAGCAGTAAGTCGGTCAGGAAAATCTGTTTTTTTTTTTTTTTTTTACTGGTGAAAAGTCCTCTCACATAAATTTAGGTAAACTATCAGTAAGCACTACCTGGATTATACTTGGAGAGGGTTTCCAGGGTCAACCCCCCTGCAGCCCAATCTGTGACCAGGCCTTGCGGTGGATCAGGGCCTGATCAACCAGGCTGTTACCGCTGGCTGCACATAAACTGATGTACGAATCGCAGCCCAGCTTGTCAGGTACTGACTTTAGGTACCTAACCTAATATAATCTATCCAGAGCCTAAATTATATTGCTTCTTGAATCTTAGTTATATTTTAACACGTTACCAAGTATATCGTCTGAATAACTCGCTGATGGTGGTGCTACTTAAAGTTAGTTACTTCTGGACATTTTTATGGAATGTTTGGTTCTTATTGAAGTTTTTAAAGGCCACTGGCACCTTTAAGGTGAGATTAGATTGGAGACTATTGGTTTTTGTGTTGGGATCCTTTAATTTTGTTCCCAGGATGTGACCCACAACAGTCGATTAACATCCAGGTACCTACTTACCTCTAGGTAAGTAGGTGACTGTACAAAGTCAGCAGGTGTAAGGAAACATAAGCAATGTTTTACCCATGCCAGGATTGATCCCTGGTCCCTCAGTATGTGCTAAGGACATTATCAACTGAGCCACGAGTACCCACCGCCTTCAGCCCTGCTTCACGATGTATAGGGAAGAAGTATGGCCCAAAGCAGGGCAATAAAGGAAAGGAAACAGGAGCTCTCTTTGCAAATGGAAAGTAGAATTAAAATTTTTCATTTTGATAAGGTGGGCCCCATTACACCTGTTGTCCCTGTTCACCCATCAGTAAAATGGGTACCTGGATGTTAGTTGACTGGTGTGGGTCGCATCCTGGGACAAAATTGACCTAATTTGTCAGGAATTCTCTGCATAACAAGGGGCTTTCTATATAGTAGTATGTCATTGATATCAGCTAGACCTGTATACCTTAGGATAAGATTTCGTTTGGATTTTTAACCCCGGAGGGTTAGCCACCCAGGATAACCCAAGAAAGTCAGTGCGTCATCGAAGACTGTCTAACTTATTTCCATTAGGGTCCTCAATCTTGTCACCCAGGATACGACCTACACCAGTCGACTAGCACCTACCTATTTGGGTGCTAGGGGAAAAGGGCAAAAGGGGGA